TCCGACACACGCGAAATTAATGTATGATTGAATATGGAATCCTTCTTTTTTATTCTTGGGCTTGGTATCGCTCCAGAGCATGTCCCTCTATGGCACCCTACCAATGTGTCTATCTGAAGACACGCCCTGAGAAGGGGATTTAAAAAGTGCAACCCGTGTACGAGACACTCCCCATTAAATTGCTACGAAAGTTTGCCATTGTTTACGATAAACGTTATATCACTTACCTGAATTTTATCACCCGCCTTTCTGCTTCTCCTTTTCGCATAGATTTGTTTAGGGCCTTGTTCTGCAACAGCGCTGGTTACAGTTGTCCCATTTGACCTAGCATCAGATTTGGCATCACTTAAACTGCACTCGACATTCGTTGCAAGTCTGTTATCTTCTGTCTTCTTGATTCTTCTCGGTGAGGGTTTTGATACGCCGGCATGGCTAGAACTCGGTCCAGGTGACCCGGCCAGTGCATGCCCTACATCCGGGACTTCCGGAATCTCCTTCTCCACAATGCTGTCAATGTTGTCAGTCAGCATGATCTCATCTTTGTAATTAGGTTGACGTCTGTTGTCTTTTTTCTTAAGTCGTCTCATCGCACCCGAACAACGCGGCTTCAGTGGAATACCTTTGTTGTCTCCATCCTCATTTTCGGTGGACGACTCTTCACTCCACTCTGCATTCCAGCGAGGCTTGTCCACCAGACTTTCCCAACTTTCCTTCCTTTCTCCCAGGCGATGTTCTGCCTCCCACGTGGAATCTACACTGGTCTCAATGAATGCACTCCTCGAGCTCTTCTCGTTAAAATCTACTACACTTGCTGACTCCACTGCTTTTTCAAGGCGTGAACGTGTTTCTTCAATACCGCGCGCCAACGTGGAATCTTGTTCGTATCCGTTTTCAGTTGGAAATAAACTCGGCGAGCTATTAACTGAAACATAGTGTCGCGGTGATGATGCGCCTGTTTCTTTGGCGGTTTTGGAACAACACACGCCCATATTTCTCTACGAAAATTACAATTTTTTTCCGACCGATCCGGCAAATGCACAACTTCTCGCTGGAATTTGCGTTTGACTCTGAATTTTCTTTATGACGCATGCAATACGTAACTTTACGAGAAAAAAATCGAACAAAGCGCGCGCGCAAGGAGAAATCAGAAAGATCGCGTTTTAGAGCATCATTTAACGGTTTTTCTCGTTTTAGAGGACAAAAAATTTCTCATCTGTTATTTTCCCCATTGTTAGCTTTCGTGATGGAAAATATAATAATTCCTGAACATCGAGACTCGGTAAAAAAGCGCAAAAAAAATTGTAAAGGGAAAATTTATGGAGGTTCAATAATTTTAAGGCTTGAGTGCTAATTTTGAAGATGAAAAATTGATCGGGAGATAAGCTTCGATTTTGCTATTTTGCTAATGATAACTAGGATCATACTTTTGAAGTTTGCTCATTTCTAGCGTTATCAAGAGCTTTCGAGGCTCGCAAGACCGCGGTGTTCTTGAAGATTTTTTCGACAAATGCTACAGTGGCCTCAGTCAACGAAAGTAGAACCCTGTGGCTAAAGCCTCCCTTGAGGAGATAAGGATAATCAGTGGCAGATAGCGTCCTACGCAGCCAAGAGGAACCTTAAGAGTGTCGCGTAGGAGGTTACAATGCCAGGGCACCTAAGGCTAACTAGCCGGTATTTTCTACTACTCAATGTGAGCTTTATGGCCATTTCCCAAAAAAATCGAAGTCGCGGAGATCGCTATTGATGAAACCACGATCTGACGATCCACTAATTGTCGCATTCAGAAAAAGTATTGACCAATATTGTCAGTATAGAAAACGTCTGGAACAGGTTACCCTTTTTCCGTTAATGAATAAACTGACTATAACATCACAGTGTGCAAATTCCATTGTAAGATTAAGTTGACTCGCTTTGAACCTTCATTTACTTGACATCTATACTGCATTTAACTTGATCTGCACAGCGTGTTTCGAAAGCACGAGATGATAGTTTTTAGCTTTGTTCGGCTTACATATAATTTCTATCTAAGGCTTACAAGATTACAACAGAAGAGCTATCAAAACACGCGACGCCAACACCTTTCTGTGACCCAGTCTCTACTCAGAACGTTCAGAGTTTCGTCCCAAGACTCCCTAGAAACGGCGGATGAATTCAAAATGGCGATGGCCGATAACGTTGTCAACAAGTGGCTTCACAGTGCACTTTTCTTGTATTTACATCCTTGGGTCTCAGGAATTTAGTCGTATACACATTCAGACACTATCCCCTCCACCAGGAACAACACCAACAGTATCGAGGTAAGGGGGTAGGGGAATGGATAATGGGTGATTCACGGGTTAACAGACCAGGGAGGCCGACCAGGGAAGGTATGAAAAAGGCTTATGTGATCAAAAAGAGAACGCAGAATTTCTGGCAGTACACGCCACAAAAAGCGCGTGGAATGGAAAAGGGGAGAAATAGAGTATACCCCACTGAAAAAGGTGGGAAAACAGAGAGAGATTACTAAATGCATTTGCCCCCAGGGATTTTTCAGAACATGAACATTCAGGATCTGGGAGCGTGAGGAGGTCATTCTCATTCCCAAAGCCTCCATTTCTTAACGAGTAGCACTGGGAATGAGAATGGAGGAAAACTAAATTTACCACTTTGTTGAACTGTCCTTTAGAAATTTGTTTTAATATTTATGGTGAATATCTATGGGAAAACGGGCTTGCAGCCTGTACTCTTGAATGTAGAGTTCACAAATACTTTTTTACAAGTTCCTAAGTTAGAGTACTTGCAGAGATGAAGGAAACAGGTTATATTGTTGACAAACGTTTTTAGACTTTTTAGGGATAGACCGTATGTTTCTGAAGCGCAGACAGGTTGGGAAATTACCAAATTACCAAATGTTTACTTTCTGTAATCATATCAAGGCTTAAAAATAAAGAATTAAAATTATTTGCTAACCACAAATGTCGAAATTGAGTGCCTTCTCTTTGTGTTTTCCTCAAAATTCATTGACAGATCTGTTGGTTTTAATTTTTCCTACTCCAAGGCGGGATGCAGCCACTTTTGAAGTCTGACCTTGGCAAGACTAATATTCAACCTCTGCACTTATAAAATTTGCCTGGTGTAGATGGGCCCCAATTGAATAAAACTACTTTACAATAGGCACCTTCTTTACATATGGTTCATTTTTCTCTAAAATGAAAATTTGGCACAGAATTTCTAAACTTAGGTTTGTTCTTATACATGTAGTCTACAGTTGATAAAGGAAAAGATTTAACAGAAAATGTCTGTCTTTGAGGTGTACGTACTTTTTTCACGAGCAATATTTAAAAACGTATTATAGCTTGCTCCATGGATATCATGTTAAGTACTTCACTACTAAGAAAATTATTATACAAGTAACTATCATTCCTCCAAACACAATCCATTTGTCCTGTTGAGGGAAAAAAACAGAAAGCTCTGATCAGTTTATTTCAGATAAATGTATTTTATTTATTTATTTTTTATTTTGTATTCCTCCAATTCCTAGCTAATACAGAGATGTGTAAATATAACGTAAAGAAAATAAATAGTAACCGATAGTGCTTTGTAAGGAAGAAAAAAAAAATGCATAAAACAGAAATTACATCACTTGAATTGAATAGAAGATTGAACAGAAGATATCTGTTGTGGTTGAACATTATACTTAGTACAATTGGTACTTTCATTTGTTATATGCATATTTGATATACTTTATACCCACATTGAACATATCAAAACAATACAATCATGTACAAAAGTTGTTGAGACACATGAAAATTACCATCCCTTTTACCCTAGGGGTAAATTTTCCTCTCTCCCCTCGTGAAAGGTAGCCCCTCCTTCCCCCTTTGTCAATGTTGGAAACAAATAAACATCAACAAAGTGTTTTGCAACATTGTTTGGGGGAAGGGGGGTGACTATAGATGAAAAAGGTGTTTTCATTCAAAAGCAAAGTATTATTGTTAGTTTGAAAGCATTAGTTTGGCTAAAATGTCTCAACACTTCTGTCCATGATTGTAGATATATAATATATCACTTAATTGCTAACACACTTACCTGGGTAGCTCTCTTGTCAATCAATCTCATAACAGTATTGGAAAGGCCAAGAGTGCTGGCAATATCTAATATTCTCTTGTGAGCTCCCTGTTGATAATCACAAATTTAAGTCTCTGTTATCACTTACATTAGAATCACCATTAACAACAGGAGTCAACTATTGATGTTGGAAACATGTGATTGGGATGTCGTCCTTGAAATCAAAGGCTCATGAATGATTCACATCAATCAACATTTTCATTTGCCCATCTCAGCAATACTCTTCATCCAATCACACATGAGTCTTGAGTGGTGAATGGAAATTGGAGAAATTGAATGGTAACACCAATGTATCTAGTATTAGCCCCAGGCATTCCTAGAGTTGAAAAGAACCAGAGAATAAGAGATGGAGTGCCAGAAATATCAAGACAATGAGACCCTTAAAATACCTGCCTGTCCAGTAAAAAAGGCCGTTTTCAAGTTACCTTTTGCCTCATGTGTCAAAACGAGTCTTTGTGCAAAACTGTTCATATGAAAATATGTTTGCCCTACAGGTTCACTTTCATGCAAATCATCGACAATCTCATTTTCATCTAAAAGGTTTTACATGAAGACTCCTTTTGAAACAGAGGCACAAGGCAACTCGGAAATGATCTATTCTCTTGTTTGTTTGTTGGTTTTTTGTTTTAATAAAACCATTCCCCACCCCTCACCCAGTGTGTTCATATGAAAGTAACCATAGCAATAATGAACATACTTTTAAGGTGAGACGCTGATCTCGTAAGCTTGTCAAAATACTGGACCCACTGGACAATAAATCACTTATTCCTCTGTCAGCATTTTGAAGGGAAGTGTTGTGTTGTAGGGCATGGTCTATCATGATAGATGTTTCACCACTATTCTGAAAATGAAAAATCAAAAAAGGAAGTATTGAAACACACAGCTGTGTATGAGAAAAAAATATGTCCATGAATGATCAATCCAGTCACAGGAGATGTGTTTAGTGTTTTTCTGAATCTTTCTCTGTAAACTATAAACTATTAACACTGGAGTAAAAAATTATTATGAATATGATCCAATTGTCAAGAATCTTCCGATTGCTTTTAACACAAGAGATTTTCCCGATAATCTTCATGTTTGAACGACCAACAAACTCGAATCACTTCACTATTTTTAATGTCCCAACTTGAAGGAAATTAGAAAGATTACAATCTCTAGATCTCACACGACACGCACACGGCTTTTTTGAAATCCTAAACTTACATCACGTGATTACAGCTTATCACTAAGCAACGAGAAATATAGGGAGCAAAGTTCACTTCCACCGCGTGACAGTCACGCAGTCCCTTTTCTAACACAATTATGCTTGTAGTACTGTCTGACTCAACAATAATCAAGAGAGCATTTGCTATTAATTTGTCAAGTTTTAACTTCCAATGGAAACATGAGTAATTATAACACAAATCAAATCATCTGATTTTCACAACTTACAGTTGTGAACCTTCTGTTGAGTAGTTCTTCTCTTTCCCTTTCTTCTTGTTCCTGATGAAAAAGGAAAATTCCAACTTATAATTTTTGAGCTAACTGCAAGTGTTCTGATTTCAAAAACAGGATTTATTCATGTCATGTGATAAGTTGTGTTAAAGTGCCACTGAAA